TGCTTATATTAATCTTTTTATTACATTTTTTATATTGCATTTTATATTGCCTTTTATATACTATTTAATATATAATATTATATATTTATATATATATATTATGATCTAGGTTGTAAGCGGTATAATTGTAGTGCAAGTTAAAATAAAATATTAGGTGCAGTGAACAGATAAAAGGTGCGTGGAGATTATTATTATTATGACATTATTATGCACTCATGTACTCATTACTTCATCTTTCTTCCTTTAAGAGGATTTACTTAAACGCAATACCTCTGCTTAAGTGGTGGACAACTTTTAAACTAACACATGATCCCACTGCTTTGTGTTAACATATATATATATATATATATATATATATATACATAAGTTAAGTGATGATTAACACTGCCAGACCTTAACTACACTGCCTGATCCGATGGTGGCAACTCGAACAAAGACACAATCACACACACACTAAGTTAACAGCAGCAAGTTGGCTGTAACTACTACTGAGGATATTGTAGTTAGTTAGTAACGTTACAGTCGGTTTATCAGTGAGAAGTTATCTGCACGTATAGCCTGCAGATGTTGCTTTACGCTAACTAAAGCAAACATGAAGTTACTTTGCAAAAAAATCTTATCTTACCCGATAACGTCTCTTTTTAACGTTATGTTCACTGTTTTCCTTAAGTCACTTCATAGTACGCTGACTTTGCCTTTAACAAACTCACCGGACACCGTTTACACTAAACCTCTAAAGTGCTAGGTTTGTTAGCTTCATGTATCACACTGAGAAGACAACACCGGAAAGAAAACCCCCAACCGCATCAAACCGAGCACTCAATAGCCAATAGAAACAAAGGAATGTTGATTGATTTAGATTTTGACGAATGGCACTGCTTCCTCTGTGAACGCGTATGCATTTTTCTTGAACCAATCAGATTACAGGAGGAATATTTGAAGGCGGGCTTTCCACTGTTTTCTTCCGGAACAAAAATGGCTTCTCTTGACAGGGTGAAAGTACTAGTTTTAGGAGATTCTGGTAAGTTAAACCCAATTTAGGCAATCCAGACCCTTATATCAATGTATCTGCTTATTTTTAAAGACATTTGTTAATTTTGGGCAAATGTCTTCCGGTTTACAACCTTTAATTTAGGGAATTCAAACTGTGGTCAAAAGTCTGTTGCAGCTCTGTAAACCTGCACACCTGACGCAACATACCTGTGTGTATCGGTGAATTAGGGTTAAATGTGAAGCGATGCTTAATTTAAAAGCAGTCAGTATTCACACTGGTCATTGCCGACAGAAGTAGTGTATTTGAATGTAAGACGGTTGCTTAGTTTAAGATGAATCAGCACCAAATGTATGAAAATGTATGTAAAAATCTTCGCCGAATCAAAGAGTGACACCAAATAGTTCGTTGAAGATGTTTACTGTGGTTATACAACGTACATGCTTTGATGGAAACGATGGAGATTATACGCTGACATGTTTTTTCAGTGGAGCCTGGTTATCATATGAAAGTGAGCCACGTCTTCATTATCTTGCATTAAGCAGTAGTAACTTTTATAGCACTACATCAAGACTGAAAGCCGTATATAATCTACTGGACTAAATGTGTGTCCTTGTGCATTGATCCCATAAATTATTTCAGTCACCCACCCACCCACCTTTCTTGTCTTTGGCAGGGGTGGGCAAATCTTCCTTGGTCCATCTGCTATGTCAGAATCAGGTGTTAGGAAATCCATCATGGACCGTTGGTTGCTCCGTGGATGTACGGGTAAGCAGGTCGAACACCTCCTCATTTACAAAATGTCATTGAGATGAGATCTGAAATGATGCTGCTGGCCTTTTAAATTAACCTCAGATAAACTACACTTCATGCAACAACCTTTTAAAGGACTAATGATGCATCAGTGTGTATATCACTTAAAATGTACTCAATTACTTTCCAACACTGATTATTCAACACATTCATGTTAAATAAAAATAGGTATAGCACTTACATGATGCAGATACTCAGAGGGTTGAGTATAACTGTTCAACTACAGGTCCAAGACTATAAGGAGGGAACCCCGGAGGAGAAAACCTACTACATTGAACTCTGGGATGTCGGAGGATCCATTGGCAGTGCCAGCAGTGTCAAAAGCACCAGAGCCGTCTTCTACAATTCTGTTAACGGTAAAGATTTTATATGATTAATTAAAGAAATTAGAAATCACCACGGTTGTCTATATTTAGTTATGTTATTTTTTCTCTTTTTTTCCTTAAGGAATTATGTTGGTACACGATTTAACAAATAAGAAATCCTCTCAGAATCTTTACCGCTGGTCACTAGAAGCTTTGAACAAGGATTCTTCTCCAACAGGAGTTATTGTCTCAAATGGGTAAGCCGATGAGTATTTTGGTGTTTGTTTTTGCAGGGTGGAAAACTCATACACACTGACGCAGGATGCACAATTAAAGAGGTTAAATTGTGACTGAAAATGTGGAGTATCTGCGTATATTATATATAAAACCATAATTACACACACAATACCATACAATACGTGCAAAGATAGAATATAAAACATGAAATTACCTTTACCTATTTTTTCTCTGCAGTGACTATGATAGAGAGCAGTTTGCTGAGAACCCGGTGCCTTTGCTGCTGATTGGCACAAAGTTTGACCAGATCCCAGAGAACAAACGCAATGAAGTCCTCACCAGGACGGCCTTCCTGTCTGAAGACTTCAATGCGGAGGAGATCAATCTCGTAGGTCAACTTTTTCATTCCTACACACTCTGACCTTAAGCCCCTTTCAATTATGGAATCTGTTACACTCCTGACTGCATTTATGCGTTACAATAACAGCTTTTTGGCATTCAAACGTAGGTCTCTGTTACAAAGCCTTGTTCGACTATAAAAAGACAAATAAAGCTGCAATACTTGAGTGCTATTTGGCGTCTGGCACACAATAGAGAGTGCAAAGCTTATTTTCTTTCTCACCACAGTGACGGAGCTGCTGGAGAACAGCGCTGTGTTAGAAAATAATGATGAAAGAAGAAGACTGTTCTCAGACCTCCTATAAGCGGTTATGAGCGTTTTGAGGGAGTCTTGTTCTTGATATTTACTAATCTAAGCAACCTTGTAGAAACCCCAATAAATTATTCAAACATGAAGCTGACATGGAAAAATTCCAGCAATTCTGGATTAGAGAAATGAAAAGTAAACATAAATATTACTTGTTTGTAGGGAAAAGGCTAATGTGACATTACGCCTACACCCATCCTCCTTTCATTTATAAAGAGCTCACTTATATCCGTTTCTATGGAGTTAATTTGTAATAGGGTGCCTGAGAACTTCGCATGCTGGAATTTGCACTGAAAATGTTTTATACATGTGTGTTTCATGTTTGAAGTCCCATAGAATATTTTATACTGTATAGTTTGATGTTTGAATGATTGCAATATCAGCTGCAAAATTGTTGTTGTTTTGATTGACTTAGAAAGTACTTCTTACATTCCCATGTGTTGTCACAAATATAAAACCTATATCTCATTGCTTTATAAATAGGATGGATGAAGTACAATGAGTTGATACCTTTTAAATGTTACTCTTTCATACAAGTTTCAACGATTTAACGAACAAGCATTAAGTGCGTTTGAAATAAATTATCTGTGTTACAATCTGTTACAAGAAAAAAATTAAAATAGATCCAGAATTGTAGCCTGTATATGTACGATATGAAAATCTCTGACTTTGGTGACATCTAGTGGTAGTATTAAGGAGGACAGAAAGAAAAACACTTCACCAGGATTCTTTATTTTTTCTACAAACATTTGAAAGAAATTATAATTATAAAAACACTCTACACATAAAGTTTCACCTGAAAACAAAACCGTCACTCACTTTCTTATGAGGTTTGTGCTGAGGTGCTATTTGTTTTCCCAGGACTGCACCAACCCGAGGTATCTTGCTGCAGGCACGTCAAATGCAGTGAAACTTAGCAGGTTTTTTGACAAGGTGAGACTTCTGTAATATGAGGTGCTATTTTCTGTTTTTAAATACAATATGAAAAGCAGATTTTTACACTTTATACACTACACTGTGTGGATCTACTGCAGGGAGCAGAAACAAATATTTACCATGTAGACGAATGTCAGTCAGCGTCCTCCAATCTATGAAATATTTGCTGACAGTTATATTAATTATCTGATGTGTTACATTGAGGGAACAAACTCTCAAATGATTAATGAGTAACAAACTGTTTTAAATCTTGAAAAATAAGTAATTTTAGTACAAAGTGTACATATCAGGTTAGTAACCTCTGTAAAATCTTAATCTATCTATCAACAGGTTATAGAGAAGAGATATTTCACAAGAGATCCAAGTCAGGTGAGTCAGTTTTGCATTTCCAGTTTTTATTGCTGACATAAAAATAACATAAGCAAATCACAAATGTCCTAATTATTTTGGTAAAAGGAAATGTTTACCTAAAAAATTGTTACTGAGGAAGACTAAGGTTTGACCTTAAAGTGAACTGTTGCATATTCCTTTCACTTTCTCTGCAGATGACGGGTTTCACGGACAGAAAACGGTTCAACTTCAAAAGTTTGCACTATGAATGACAACAGTGGTCTGTGGTTTTGACCATGATGCCTTTGGGCTTTTACACCACGAGTAAACCATCACACTCATTGACGTACTCTCTATACCTGCACCCCCTGCTCCTCTGCCCACTGTTTTTTTCTTTTTTTGTCTTCTTTATACAAAACCCTCTGAACACTTTTTCATCTGATATTGTAGTTAAACACACTTTAGAAATGAAAAGACATGCTTCAGGAAGATTATGTGAAAGGACATGCTATACATGTAAAGTATTTAGTTTTTAATTCCAGACCTTTTCAATACAATCTGCAAAACAGTCACATACATGTAGTAGCTACATGAATTCTTTTTTTTTTTTTTTTTAACTAAGACTTCTAATCTTATCTTTAAATGTTTGCCTTTCTCTAAGAAATAGTCATAAGCAAATGAAGAACCAACACTGGATAATTCTGGGCTTCTGAAACCAGTGCTCATCTCACATACTTCCAATCCCTTCGGCAGTCATGTTCTTAATCCAGGGGGCGGGGGAGACAACGAAATGGAACCGCTCAGAGTCGAAGGACCACTGAGGAGTACTTCGGTATTATCACATTATGGCCTTGAGGCGAGGCCAGTCGAAGCTGTTATACGCCCGTCGAAGGCTTGCTTGTTGGCAGAGTAAGTGCCCCGCTCAGACTCAACCCCCCTGCAAAAAAGGCAATGAGAAAGAACATGGTCTGAGTCATCTATAACAAAATGTTTTATCTTTGTTTTGGTCTAAAAAGAATTCTTCAATGAAATAGCAAGGAAACGCACGGTTTTCTCTCAATGTTCTCATAGGGCATTATTGATGGATTTTTGTTGTATGGGTGTAGAGCGTAATCCGTTCGAGACCATATCTTGAGTTTATTCTACCGTGGCCTGAAATGCCTCCTTCTCCTTTTGGTGAAGTTCTGGTGCATAACATGCGATAGATTGTGTCAAAGTACGTCATCTCTTTTGCATTGATTTTGCACCTCCAAAAGCTGAATTGGTATCTTCTCGAATGGCCTCCTTCAGCACATCCTGAGGCCAGGCTTGTCAACTCCGAGTTTCTTCCCCCAAAGCCAGCACTTACAGTTAATGTGGCTGGGATGTTTCCCCATCCCTTATACTCTTTGGTAGTCCCGACTGGTTGCGTTCCACAATACTATATTTCCAGTTTTGGCCACTTGCAGTTGTATTTAAGACTGAAGACAGAGATCGAGGTAAGAACCTGTTAAAACTCACAGCAGTTATTTGTGCCCCCAAGAAACCCAGTTTACGTCATATGTTCAGAGTATCTGGTTTACTTGTGTGTTTTATGTCCTTTGCTTAAACAGAGTTTTAGAGTAATTGCAGCTTGCGCACCCACAAAGCGCCCACCTGAGGCTTCAGTGCTGTGTGTCGGCCGGTGTGTTGCGTGTGTGTTGTGTGTTGTGTGTCAGTGTGTGTGTACTGTGATCTGTGCTGTGCTCTGTGTCTGTGTCTTGTGTGCGTGTGTGTGTGTGTGTGTGTCGTGGGGCACCGGTATAACTCACCCCAAGCTATAAGAAATCATGCCGAAGACTGAGAATGCTTAGCCCTTCAACTGCCCGAGTTGGAGCATGCGACTACTTTATCCTCTTCTCTCAAACTCAACAACAACGG